AGAAAAAGAACGTATAGTAGGCCTTTTGTATCCATGGGATTCACGTTTACGGTTTCAGTCAATGGTGAATCATATATATTCAAGAAAAAAAACTGAGCCTATACTAAACATGTATAGACTTTATTTACTTGTCATTATTCCTTAAACAATGCAATTAAACTACTATTTACGTTATCGTTATCGGGCATTTTATTAATTTTTTTATTTTAAGTAGAGACAGAGTCTCACTATTTTGCCCAGGCTGGTCTCCAACTCCCAGCCTCACGACATCCTCCCACCCTCTCAAGTGTTGGGATTATAGGCGTGAGCCACTGTGCCTGGCCTATATTAGGTATTACAAGGAATCTAGAGATGATTTAAACTATATAAGAGGGTGTGCATAGATTACATCCACATACTATGATATCTGTAGACTTTGGTATCTGAGGGAAGTCCTGGAACCAAGGCCCCTGAAGGATGACTGTATAAATAATATGTTAATAAAGGAGTAAGAAAATAATAAAAAATACTTAATCCAAAATAATATAAGGAAAAAAACAGAACAAAGAAAAAAGTGAGACAAATAGATAATAACATAATGGTAAATTTAAATTTAAATACACAGCAGATAACTTTTTTAAAAACAATTAAAAGAAACCTCTTAAACGTAAAAGGTTAAAACCAAAAAGGAAAAAAGATGGCTTAACTATACTGATTCCAGAAAAAGCAAACCATGTCAAGAAAAATGACAAGAAACAAAATACATTTTATAATGATGAAAGGTTCAATCCACCAGAAAGATACAATTCTGTATCTGTATGTACCTTTGTACTTTAAAATATGCAAACAAATTACTGAGACCAACTTTTTGTCAATGTTGCTACACAAATTGTGATATTTATTATTTAAATAACAACATAAATGAAGAAAAATTCAATATGTGACATACCTTAGCTCTGTAGGAATGAGAACCCCCTTGAAAATTTATGACTCCATAAGCATCCGTTGGGCTCTGTTCTGTATGCTTTTCCACAGACCATTCTTCTATTGCCTGATTAAAATGGTCACCCAATTTCACATCTGAGTATTTCATGGCAAGACTTGCAGTAAAACAAGCATGTTGCTTGACCAAGCGACCACAAAAACACCTAAAAGAAAAAGGTGAGATGATTAAAATACCTTTCAAAAAATTAGAGTTAATGAAAAAATGAAATTAAAAATGAATGAACCGACAAATAGTATAAAAATAAGCTTTTTGATTTTAGGATATCTATATATTAATACCTTCATTATAGCACTGAAATAGCATAATTAGTCTAAGATGAATTCATCATCTAAATTTAACGTGAGGCATCTACAAAACATGGTATAGGCATATAACAGAATAGCATTTACACCGGGTGTGGCTCATGTGGGTAATTCCAGCACTGTGGGAGGCCAATGCTCGAGGACCTTGAGGTCAAAAGTTCAAGACCATCCTAAGAAACACGACAAGACCCTGACTTGACAAAAAAGTTTTAAAAATCAGCCAAGTGTGGTGGCATACACCTGCAGTCCCAGCTACACAGGAGACCAAGGTGAGAGGCTTGCCTGAGCCCAGCAAGGATGCAGTCAGCCTTGGTCACACCACTGTACTCCATCCTGGATGACAGAGCAAGCAAGACCCCAACTCAAAAAAAAAAAAAAAAAAAGAAAAGAAAAGAAAAAGAAATATCATCCAATAATAAAGATAAATGAATGAACCACTAATGATACTAGAGAATGGATAAATCTCAAAATCATTATACTGAGTGAAAGAACCTAGACACGAAAGATTATATATTTACATGATTCCACGTATACAAAATTCAAAAAAATGTGAACTCATCTATACAGTGACAAAAGGGTGATCAATGGTGTCTGAAGCTAGGGTACAAATACGGATGGCATTCTACCCAGAAGTACATACTGAACTGTAACACCGAAAGTAGGAATCTAATGGAGCTGGGCAGTCTCACTGATTCGATACAATCTTAAAATCAGATCAGAGTTTGAAGAAGCCAAGGCAGCTTAGAGTTTGTGAGGTAGAAAACAAAAAGAGGAGGGTTGCAAATATCTGCAGAAGGGCCTCCTTAAGCATGTGGAAGAATAACTACTTGGCCAGGTGCGGTAGGTCACGCCTGTAATCCCAACCCTTTGAGAGGCTGAGGTGGGCAGATTACCTGAGGTCGGGAGTTTGAGACCAGCCTGACCAACAGGGTGAAACCCCCTCTCTACTAAAAATACAAAAAATTAGCTGGGCATGGTGGTGCACACCTGTAATCCCAGCTGCTAGGGAGGCTGAGGCAGGAGAATCACTTGAACCTGGGAGGCAGAGACTGCAGTGAGCAGAGATCGGGCCACTGCACTCCAGCCTGGGTGAAAGAGTGAGACTCGGTCTCCCTAAATAAATA